AGACAGCCCTGCGGCTCACGGCAGGGCAAACGATTAGCGACGCTTTGTCCTAGCTGAACGAGCAGATCCCGGAAGCGACCGCGTCCGTGGACTACAGCTGAACACTCTCACTCTACATGCAAAGCTCGTGCATCTCACAGCCAGCGTGAAAATATTGATGGCTCGTTATTCCCACCCGCAATGCACCCAAAACAAAAGCGCCAATATGACAGGATTACTCACCCGAAGGAAGTCAAACGAGCAGCATGACGCTTGCGACTCTCCGGCAACGACCGTTTCCAGCTCTCCGTGAATTGGCGCGAAGCCTTAGCACCGTCTGAACTCTTTGCCGTGGATTAGTGCGCCTGCCCCCCTCCTCCTGACCGAACTACATTGGTCCAGTTAAGAGGGACCGGTCCCCTCTTAATATGAAGGGACACGCGTGAATCTTTTTGTCGGTCTTTCCTGTTCAGAGGGACTAACGAAACGGTTTCCTTGGTCTCTCTTAATATGTTGGTGTCCCTCTAGATGTTGCTATTTTATTTTTCAATTTCCCTCTTAAAAAGGGCTGTCCCCCTGAAAGCATTGTTGTCCCCTCTAAAATCAGAGGGACAGCGTTTTTTATGAGGGACCGGTTTTAGAGTGTACGCTTCACCTTAAGTCCAGGGGCAGCCGACGTATACCAGCTGATGAGACCAACCAGAAAGCGTAAAATGCGCAGCATCGTGGTGTTGGTCATGTTTCTGTATGTTTGCTATCATCTCTGAACCGATCATAAACAGAAAAGACCCACTGACTTGCGCTTTTGACGCTGCTTGAGTGGATCCCTTAGTCGTAGCATTGGCTGCGTCTGGAATTAACATGAAACCAAGTATAGACCAACTCAACTCACTGACATCACGTCACTGCGATGGCGCTGCTGTTGGTACTGCGCATGCGCAGACGCTCCTCCCGAATTCGGTTTCTGCGCATGCGCGGTGCTTACACCTGGTGTGGACAAGGCGAGCTTGTTTGGAAACACTGTTTTGGTTTATAGCACTAGTAGGCTGTGTACGTTTGCCATCACCCACTAAACCAACGACGGAGAGAAGAAAAGGGCGGGATCACGCCGTATTCTCTGTGTGTGTCTAGTTTGTCCGACGATAGCGAAGCCACATGAACGACAAGCGCAATGACCATGCACTTTTGGCACTTCTTGACTGGCTGCAACGGATCGTGGCGTTGGCTGCGGTCGGACTTGGTGCCAAACTGAGTATAAAAAAGTTTGTATGATTCGTTCAGTTCTCGTTGTATTTTTGTTTTTTTTTTGTTTTTTTGGTTTTCGTTTATTCTTGTAAAGGCGGACTTCACCTTCTTATTGACTATCCCTAGTCAGGCCAAAAAAGCGGCTGCCACAAAACGTACAGTATATTCTGGCATCGTATATTCGCTGCTTCCTTACTTTCACATTGTGTGCCTCGTTTCATTCGCCCTTTCCAAACGAAAACAAAACGTTTTAACTTTACGATTGCACGGCAGAAGTTCAGCGATCGTGCCTTTTTACGGATTCCAGCGTGATTGCCGAAAGCGAAAGTCCAAATGGATGTCTGGTAGCCTTGACCTTTCTATCTCAGCCGTAAAAGTTAATCTGGAACAGCTTAGAGGAAACTCTCAGCGGTGAACGAAGCGCATCCTTATAGCTTCCATAAAATTACTCAATTCGTTACCAGCTTGATGGCCCGACTTAGGACAGAGTGAAAGAAATCAAACTATACTACTGACAGAAACCGTGGCTAAGTTATGAAGCACAACGCTGCAGGTACAAAAACAAGTGGATCGGTCGCATTCCTCTACAGCCGTCCGACAGCAAGATGATCACTCTAAATACTGCAAAAAAGAAAGAAAGAAAAAAAGACTGACCGAACGGTTTAATAAAAATGTAAACCAAACTACAACAACAACAGAAAATGTGGGGCCTGGACGAAGATTTTCTGACGGTAATCGTTGGTGTAGGTCAGTTGCTCGGGAGCGGAGGTCCAGCGCTGTTAAGCGACGATAGGAGAGGAGGTTCGGAACCAGCGCACACTTCTCCTCCGTCGGAAGAACGCTTCTTCCAGGCGAAAGTGGACCAGCGTCCCTCACCTTCCCCGGCAGCCTTCGGAGGAGAGACCGGGGGGGTTCCTGCTGTCGGGTCGAGAGTGTCTTCGCCTTATAAAAGCCACGTCCCGAGGACCCAGAGTCATCGGTGCTTTTGCGGACGGTGCTCGGAAACTCTTCAGAGTCTGCGCAGCGAACCGTGGCTCTTTGTGAGTCGTCCAGCTGAAGAAACATGAGGACTCTGGTGAGTCCCTTTGTTTCCTCGATGAGGGTGTTCGAACGATGACAATCGATGGCTGGCTGCTTCTTGACCGAGCCGCTGAGTGTGTGCGAAGAACCCCGGGAGTTATGCCCCTTTTCTGTCACCGGGAAGACAGTCAAATACGACCACTTGAGGCTCGCGGGACTAAGACTGTAGCACTCTGTGCTCAAACTACGTGGTATATTGAGATATCCGGGTGCTACTGCCCACAATCACCCCGACGTTTTTTGTGTTTTTTTTTTGTTTTTTTTAAATTTTGCGCGTTTATTGTTTTTTATGCGAACTCTTGGTGGACAGAATGTTTTGTTCTAGTAGTTCAACAGAAGTTCTGATTAAATGCTCTTAATTCTGTCACTCCTCGGCTTCTTCAGGAACGTGAAAAAGACCGTTTCCCTATCTTAACCAAAATGAGAAAACGTATCGTTCCGAGCACGTGTGTGTAAAAATCGAGGTGAAGTCGACTGGAGAGGAACACAGAGTTCCCCACGTTCACATTCAATCAAACAATTTAGCGGTAACACCAGTGGTATCAGAGGAACATCAATGAAGCAATGCGCCACGGATCGTCTGACCACCGGTCCGGGGCCAAGGTTTCATGAAGTTTCCTTTCCGTCAAGGATGCGGTGTCGTCCACGGTAGAGAAATGAGGGTGCTTCGCCTTTCAATGCTCGGAAAACGCGAGGTCAAAAAGTCGTTTCCGTGTTGTCAACCAAACAGAGATGTTGGTGACCGACGTCTTCGACACCCCGACTCGATCCCTGCAGTGCCGCACGTGAGCAGCAAAATACTGACGGGCCAGATTTAGATCCTGAACTATCTTTTGAGTTTTTGAATTGGCAGTTTGACAGCGGTCGCGTCGTGGCGTCCTGTTTCCTGTTTCTATATAGTGTACTTCTTCGCTTTCCCTTTGTTATTGTTCGGTGCTGCCGTTGACACGGATATTACTGAAAGAGCCGCGAGCACTTAGCAAGAGTCATTCTTCCTCTCTGACACGCCTTCTTTCGCGTTCCCTTTGCTTCGCTTTTTCGGACAAGATGCGACATATTTTGTGCTTTGCGAAGCTTTTGAAAAGCATTGACGATGCTAAACACAAAACAAACAAACAAAAAACATTGCTATTTTCTTAGAAGCATAAATGTCAATAAGGGAAGTAAATATACCTTATTCTTCTATTTCTAGAGATTTCTGGCGACTATGAGGCACATTAGTAGCTCGGAGCACGTGGAGCGAAAGCTAGCGCTGCAGAACCCAGGGATCCCGGGTTTCGATCTGCATGAGCATCGTACCGGCATGCGGTCGAGTATCACTACAGCGTGACGCACGTTAAAGACCCAATGCTAGCTGTTGTGCTGCACGGGCTAAATTTCTCATCTACACTCTAAAAAATGCCCGTGCGTCTGCTTTCCCGCACAGCACTCCGAGAGCTAATCACCGCAACTTACGGAGGCAGCTTAGCGAATGACGATGCCGAAACATATGTTTAGACCAAAAAACGCAGTCTGAGTTGCGACATTAAGCAATGCAAAACGCCAAGCTTGCATTGCTTAATGTCACAACTCAGACTCCGTTTTTTGGTCTAAACATATGTTTCGGCACCGTCATTCGCTGATCTGCCTCCGTATTTTGCGGTGATTGGCTCTCCGAGGTTTTGCGGGAAAGCAGACGCACGGGCTTTTTTTTAGAGTGTACAGCTGAGACACCAGACGCCCACTGAGTGTGACTAATTTCCGGCTCTATAAACATACACACAACATTAATATTTTTATTATTGGCTCACATTAGGCAATGTCTCAACTTGTTTTTTTCTTATCTGTCATCGAAGAGCAGAACTGAAATCATTAAATGAACATGATTAAGTCATGTACGCCTCAATAAGCAATACGATGTCGACTAACCTTTACATTTCCTAATTTTACGCAGAAATAGCATTAGGTTGTCATTAACAACTGGAGAAACCACAAAATGAACAGTTTAATAATGTATTTTTAAACATCACTCAAGTACGTTCGAAGTTAATAGTTGCCGTATAAAGTATTTTAATGCTTCACTGCCCCAATTTAACTGCAGACTCAAAGATGAAGAGTCTAATTACTACTACTACTACCGGTTTAGTTATTAATGGACGAGTCGAGGCGGAGTACATTCGCGTAATTACTTAGCTAATGGTCCTAATGTAGCAATTGCATCGAACAGGTCAAAGTGCCCGTTTACAGAGAAAACATGAGACGTAAGCTGCCGTACTAAATTCCCGTTGTCTAAACAACCGTACAACAATAATATTTGAATGCGCGCTTACCTCCATTTCCTCAGCTGTCTTGATAATCACGTAATGAAGTTTTCCTGTGCAGTATTCTCGTCCCTACTGCTTCCAGAAGCTATATTCCGCATGCAATTAGCGCAAGCCTCACTTTAATGTAATTTATGTTCAAGATACGTAAATCACGCCATAGAACAATTAGGGCATGGATGAAGAAAGAATAAACAATTAACACTGGGACAACACAACCACATCTTTCAAACGAAAGAAATGAAAGATCTGGTTGTGTTGTCCCAGTGTTAATTGTTTATTCTTTCTTCATCCATGGCTTGAACCAACACGCTCTTCTCCAAGCACACAAATAATTAGGGATCAACTAGTATTGAAGAAATAACCTTTATATAGAAAAGCATGGTTACGGTAGTAATGGCTTGCTCGAACACATCTGATTACGTGAGCGCACCTTTAAACAGACAAAAAAAAAAAAACAAAGCACGGAGATAAAAAAAAAAAAAAGAGTCCGTAACGTAGATTCTTTGGGCAAATTGCCATAGATGACAGGTGTCTAAACTTCTAGATTGTTTATTTAATTTTGTAATCGCCAACAGAGAGGCTTAGCCCAAACATTGTGTGATTTTCAGAAGTTTTCAATCAATTAAAGTTCATAAGTTGAAAAAAAAAAACTTGGTATCTTTGTTTTGAACAAATCTATCAATATGCTTTATACTTCTAATGCAACTCCGTAATAACGTTAGTTGTGGTTTTATTCAGCATTAAATGGTTCCAAACCACATCGCCATACGTAACATAGAGTACCTGGTTGAGGGATTACGCCCTCTACTTGGTCTTTCGAGCTGGATACTAAAAAATAGATCGAAGAGAAAATAAAGATAATTGTCGACTAGGAAGGTTATGATAACTTTGATGAAAACGCCTGAGCCTGAGGAAAACTGAAGCATACAAATGCCCAACGGTATTGTTCTTGTGCCCTTCAGCATTAAATTTCTACAGATGAACAGTGAAAAGCTCTCTTCTAACTCAAAAGCTCTCTTCTAGCTCAAAAGCTACAAAAAAGTTTTTTTTTTTTATAAGAAAAAAAAAAAAAAGCTATTTTTAAGTTTCGCAATTGCTTGGACTCGACACACAGAACAGGGCGTACAGTGTAACCCAAAAAAGGCCCCTAAAGCTGTTTGGGAAACATAATAACGCTCTGATTGATTGAAGGTAATTCAAAAGAAACCCTGATCGCAGGTGAGCAGCTTGTTTTTTTGTTTTTTTTTGCCTTCTTTTTGTTTGTGTAATTTTTCAATCAATTTGGTATGCACGTTTTTTCAGTTCCTTCTGGCAGCCGTGATCGGCGTGGCCATCGCGGGTAACCTTGGCGGAGGCGGAGGTTTCGGCGGTGGAGGCTTCGGCGGCGGTGGATTTGGGGGTGGCGGCCACGGTGGTGGCGGCTACGGTGGCGGCGGTGGCCACGGTGGAGGCGGAGGTGGAGGCCAAGTACACAGGTTCGCCCGTCAATGTTCACCACATTTATGAAACTGACAACTGCTTTACTCTCGAAGTTGCCTCTATCTGGTCAACGCGCATACAACGAGCTGATTTCCTATTCCGGATTGTGAACTGTACGACAAAGCTAGCTCGAATGGGATACCGGCAGTTTTTTTTTTTTTTTTTCAGTTTTACTTACACAGGGTAATATTGAATAGCATAGTTTACTGAAATTTTTGGTGCCCTAACGAAGTGCACTCTGCTACACTAATAGTTGTGGTCACAGCCTTGTAGCTGTGTACGATTAGCCGAAAATACCGTCCTCTGTTTTTTCGTGCTGGGTCAGGACCTGCCCTGTTAAATCATCGATAACAATATTTTTCGAAGAAATGTGACAGATTTGTCTGTGAATTTTAGTTCACTATCATTTTATGTATTTCTTTTTTGTTATTTTTCTTAAATTTGACATTGCAACGATCCTTCCTCCAAAGGTTATTCAAGCTTTGCAGCAATTTTAAGAGATTACTTACTCGAAAGCTACGGACACAGTACTAACCCTTGCATAGGCAGACAGGGGTGGTCTATAATGTGCTATAGAACTAACGAGTATCAAGGAGAGAATCATATCTCGTTAAATATAGCTTATAAAACTCCTCTTCCTCTGCAGTTCACCGTAAGCTCGCTGTGAAAGAAGGAAGGTTTTCGCCTTCAAAATATCAAACGTGATAAAATTCCCAAAAAATCCGCGGCATGGAAAGATGACGACACTTAAAACTCTGGAGGCAGATATCGAGTCGAGCAGGAATCGTTCGCTGACTGATCGCACCTAATAACTTTGAATTATAACTCGTCCTGTTTAGTATCCCGTGATTTTGTAGACTTGGATCATCTATCTTATCTCGGCGATCTTTTTGTAATCATTGACCTCTTAACAAACAAGTACTTTGCGTCCATGCTTGTCCTCATCCTTCAATCACTTAACGAAGCTTCTCATGTGTGCACATTTTGTGTACTTTCTTTAGTTGGGTTTTACATTTCGCTTTTATTCTTGTAGAAATTTAATTTGGTCTAATCGGGCTGTAAGTGGATTGCTTCCCTTGGTTCGCATTCAAAATTGGCTCACGTCATTTTTCGGGTACGTTTATATACTTTACAGGCAAGCAAACTTGAACAGAACAAATAGTTCGAGCGACACTAATAATGATGATAATTATCCCTGGAAGAGGGGAACAAGGGGAGACAAAGGACAAACACAAATCTCCAAGCACAGCGAGGTGACTAGTGCGCGACCGAAATAAATCCGCCTGGTCCTGGTATCGAACCAGGGACCTCTCCATTTCCAGTGGAGTTCTCTACCAACTGAGCTAACCAGGAGTTAGACCTCAGCAGAGCTAACGGGCTTTATCAACTGCCACCAGTCTCACACCAACAATCCCAGGCGAGGTCCCGTGTTCGATACCAGGACCACGCGTTTCTTTTTTTTGGTCGTGCATACTCATGGTTAGCATCCTCAAGACAAAAGCAATATAAACCTAAGGCTGTTCTACTCACGGATAGCAACATCATTTACAAAGCCTTTTCAAAAACGTTCTAAGTTTTTGTTCTGTAATCTCTGACGACACTACAGGTGCGATCTTTGCGGTATCCTCGAGCGCTTGCTTTGTATAAAGTCTAGCTTAGAAGCGTTGCTCGTGAAAAGCGATTTAATGATAATATTCAGCAAGTCTGTAAGTGTTGGCAACATGTTCGTGACGCCATAAAAACAAAACGATTGCCCACTTAGGTTCTTGGTAACCACGAGGACTACCTCTGGCGGCGGCGGTGGCGGTGGCTACGGTGGCGGCGGCGGAGGTCACGGTGGCGGAGGATTTGGCGGCGGGGGATTCGGTGGAGGAGGATTCGGTGGCGGCGGTGGTGGCCACGGCGGTGTCGGAGTCGGAAGCACCTCGCAGTTCAAGGGAGGCACCATCTACATCCTTAAGCCTAGGAGAACGGGAGGAGGTGGAGGATACGGAGGTGGAGGATACGGAGGCGGCGGACATGGAGGTGGCGGAGGAGGAGGATGGCAAGCTGGCGGAGGTGGAGGCGGTGGCTGGCAGGCCGGTGGAGGTGGAGGAGGCTGGCAAGGCGGCGGCGGAGGAGGAGGCTGGCAAGGCGGCGGCGGAGGCGGAGGAGGCTGGCAAGGCGGCGGTGGCGGAGGAGGCTGGCAAGGCGGTGGCGGAGGCGGTGGCTGGCAGTAAACCTGAAAGGCTCCGCGGGCTCAGCTGGTACGTAAACGCTGCGCAGGAACTGGAAGGCTGTCATCTTGAACTAGTGAAGCTTAATTTCTAAGGCAGGCGGGTTCAATTTACTAACATGCTGTCGTTTTGGTTGATATGAATCAGTTGATGTAGAACAGCTGTCATTTGAATTTACAGGACTCGATCATAAGGTGAATGATAAAAGAAGTGTGTGTCAGAATAATGCCGTCTGGATAACTCAACGCAAGTGCGCTTAACCTGCCCCCAGTAAAGCTTGAAAAAATACTTATCCTTCTTCAAATGCATTCATTGTTTACATTATTATTTGATTGCATATTTGTCATATACCGCAAGGGTATGACGACCCCCTTGTGGCAAAAAAGTAAAATAAAAAATCCAAACAATCACGTGCTACGTAATTTGCGTTTATGAGGCAGTTTTAATAGAAGGGATACCATGGGTAAGCTTCGAATCTTCTAGCACAAACAAAAATTTAAAATAATCCCCTGCCACTGTGCGTCCCAATAACAAACCGATCTCACCAAGCGTTCAGAGCATGCGTCAAGCTACCATAACTTTAGTTCACGGTACGCAGGCGGCAGTGCTGGAGAAGTCTCGTGCTCGGCACGCGCAGAGCTCCAGCGAGGTTGTGGCGCATGCAAAGAGGTTAACGTTCCCGTGATGCAATGCGGCAGCGGTGCCGTACCCAAACAGGCTGATGACAGCGGTCTATTGATAACAGGGCATAAATGAAATGATTAATTCCAACGTTTGCTAACTACCTGCACCGAGCGGTAACGTATAGAAAGGCGTGCTCACAATATGTGTGAGCAACTCCTCTTGATCAGATAGGCGCGCAGAAATCTCAAGCGTAATTCATCTTCCTCTTCCTTTAAGCAGGAAGGAACGCCTTGCGAACATTTATAAAAACAACAACAACACCAATATAAATATTTGTCTATGGCAACATAATATACGCTCACTTATTTCAAGCGAACCATAGGAAGAGTCATGACAGGTCTTTCAACGTAACGAACGCGTCTTCTAGTCTCTTTAAGAAGTTCTCAAAGTAAATTTTCGCAAGGAAAAATGTAAACAATACGGGGTGTATAGATACTCAATCCAAGCCGTCGCTGACACAGGAAGTTTGTGCTCATTTCACGAACATAAAGCAGTTACGCAGGGCACGTGGAGAGACTATGCGAACGCGGAAGGATTCGCTTCGAGTGACGCCGCAGCAACAAGCAGCAAATTATGCGGCCTACGTGAAGCTCCGCTTTGACCCTCAAGCCAACAGAGCTTTTTTTTTTTTTTTTTCTGCGTTCGAGTTTGTTTTATTCTGTGTCAGAGGAAACATCGAGCCGGAACTACTGGAATGGTGAGAGCAGCTTTAACGGCTGCCGTCTATTGGTTAGTTTTCAATGACAGACTATAGATCGGACGGAATCAGAGCTCCCCCATTGTCGCTAAAACCAGTGAATGCCAAAACATTATCTCAAAGTTTCCTGAGCTAATAGATCTAATAGATCTATTAGCTCAGGAACCCTTCATATATCTAATGGATCTTGGTATTAATTCACATAGATTCTGAAAGGTGGAGCTACAACTCAACCTAACCCAAGAATGTATTTTATAGATCGATTGAGTTGAGGTAATAACCAAAAAGTGTGACTGAAAGTAAACGCTACCATTTTTTTTTTATTATTTTAAAATGTTCGTGTCTTATTCGCCTGTGTCAAATGGATATGCTTATATCATCAATAGGCAATATTTTGACGTATATGTTTGATTTATCAAGGAACCTCAATTGTTTACCCCAAGTTAAAAATAAATGAGTGTATTTTACAGCACTAATTTCAATTTTGGCATCCAGCTTCTTTTTTTCTCTTGTATATTGTGAGCCACTTACTTACAAACACCATAATAAACGAAAACTACTTCAGACCCTTACGTAGGTTATCACCGAAGCGTAGGCGAAGTTCTCTCCACATTGTATTCATAGCCTACTCACAAAGGAATCTCGCTCATCAAGTGAATCGATTATTACAGAATGAATACTCCCTAGCTACACGCCCATCACTTCATGCTGGCTTCGTTTGAGGGACTAGCGCTTCCAAAAGCAATGTGCCCTCCCACCCAATAATTAGTTTGGGCGGGAGAGCTTTCGGAGACGGCACGGCGCTCAACTTAAATTTGAGATAGCCAAGCGCGAAGCGGAAAAAAGGTAAATTTAACAACTGTTGCGCCTCTTCAAGGGCTGCTACATGCCTGCACTCTCAGAGCAGTAAATATCCCCATGGAAACTGTATTACCCTTGAATCACAATTTGAGATGAAGTGTCATGCGTGTTCGCATGACACTTAATCTTTTGCCCTCTTTATGATTGAAGCTCGCAAAGCAACTTGCGACTTGCGAGTTTACTTAAGAGCATTTAATAATTTTTATATATAAGTTTCGTAAATTCAAGCCTCCAGTGTAAAAAAAAAAGCAAGAGAAAACAACAAAGGAATTTCGTTATCTATTTTACATTGCTAATGTAATTTTTTCTAAAGTGCACACTTACGCATGAGTTTGGTAATAGATATTAGACCATAGCGCCTAAATCCACCAATCTTGTCTTCCTTATTGCGCCAGCTTTACACAAACTCTCCCTTTCTGAACAGATTCGAGGCGCGCCAAGAAATCGAAGCAAGTCACTCCAGCTGAACTACACGTCGCCAATGCCATGTTGTAAATGATGTACAGAGGATCTTTTGAGTCCTGGATGTTTCAATAAAACACTCTAATAATGATGTTTTGTTGACCCCTTTTAGCAGTGAGTCGCTCCGTCTACGTTCTTGACAATAGATATACATGCGCCTTGAACGAACTGTACACGACAGGGCATTTAGAGCCACAATGGGATATCACTACCACTAACCCTGCTGTGGGCATCAGAACAATGATTCTCAAAATAACGTCCTACAAACAATGGTCCCTTTCTTTGGGCACCTCAGTATTAGAACATTTTTGTGCTTTGTTCGAATGGGGCTCATGGTCATTGAACTGAATCTTAAATAAACAACTTCATAAATGTGGTATTATTGGCGGCCCCAGTGGACCACTGTTAACCTCTCCGGATAATGTGCTCATTTCCATGTTTCACTCACGTCTATCATCAACGAATAAGCGAAATCGTTGCGGCTGTCTCTGGGATAGCAACGCGAGGAATCGAGGTATTGACCAGATCGAAGTTACAGTTGACTTCGGTGTTCCGGTTACTCAAGAACTCGTCACATTAAAGGACACATAAAAAGGATTTTTTAACAGTTTAGATGGAAAAAGAATGTCATAAAACAAATTCACAACGCAAAAAAAAAAAATGCTTAGAGCTATATTTACGGCGCGAAACGAATTTATGGTTTGCGTCCTCGGGAGCCGCCACTGGTCACGTGATAGACCTGTGCGCCACCACCGCCGCAAAGTCCCGCCGCCGCCGCACACTGAGCGTGGCGCGCCGCAGGTTGAACGCGTTTCACTTTCTCTACGCCGCCGCCGCCGGAAGGGAACACTCCGGCTCGCCGCCGCCGTCAATTTCTGACCGGCGCGCAGGTCTATCACGATGTACTTGCGCACTTTCAGGGGCTTTCTTTGGGCTCTAAAAATGACTTATTAATCTTCGTTCTTTTTTTTTTTTTTTTTTTGCACTTCAAACAAAGATTAATTGGTAACTTTTAGAGCCCATATGAAGCTTTCGAAAGAGCGCAAACACCACGTGACCACAGGGGCCAGTCAAGTGACCATAGCGGCTATTTTTCCTCAGGCTCCTGCGGGCGCCAACTGCAAATTCGTTTCGTGCCACAAAATATAGCTCCAACATTTCTTTTCGTTGTAAATGCGTTTTATGACATTCTTTTTCCACCTAAGCTATTAAGATTTTTTTTTTCTTTTTGTATTGCACCCAACCGACGCTTCCTTTAGTTGAAGCAGTTTTTCGAAGGTCGGCTGTGCTCAACATGATGGTTTTTTTTCGAGCTACCACACGGACCTATGCGCTTTGGCTTACCATTGGCGTGGCTATTGTGGGCGCTGGTATAAGTTAGGCTACGCACATCGCCAGTGCTAGAAGGCGTGGAGCCCTTTGAAAAAGTGATGATAATGACGACGAATCCGAAAAGCCATGCGTCACAAGAGAGGCATGTGAAAATCAATGGGCCTATCTATCAATGATGCTCCTCAGATTATTCTGGGAAGTGACTGAAGTATAATAGTTTCCAGCAAACTGAAAACAACATGGTGCAAAACATTAACTCATTTCCCATTTTTTGAACGCCACAGTACAAAACAAAGCGAAGCCCACCAGCATTTTTTTAGAAAATGTTATGCGAATAGAACACCACTGTGAATTCCAATATCGTGGAATGAAGAAGGCAATATTTATTACCGTATAATTTTATCCTATTCCCATGGAGCAGTGATGCAACATTTGAGTCATTTTTTTATTTATTTTGATTCCTAATCTCTTAATTTAGGTGCTTCGAGACTTTACTCCCTTTTTATTTTAACATTTTATTTCTCCTTTCGTCTCCAACCTTCTGTTTCGTATGCATCAACTTTCTGAGTCATATTTGCATTTTCAGGTTGCTTCAGCGATTTTGACATGAACTAACATAGTTTCGGTGAAATTATTTTATACGAGAGCACGCCATAAAATATCAATGGGGTAAAAATGTATTGGTCGTTTCAACATTTAGACAAGCAATCTTAAATAACTTTCCATATATCGTGAAACATTTAACAATAAAAAAATAAAAGAAAAAAAGAGCACGAATGCTGGATTTGAGCGAGACCGGCAAGTCGGCTTTACAGGCCGCTGATCCAATCTTTGCAATCGCCACTCCACAAGTTCCTAAATAAAATTGAAAAAAAAAGGTAGAAGCTCACTAGTTAAATTGCCTTCCGCATTTATGTATATCTTCGGTTTATATTTTCTTTCGCGTTATTCGCACTGTAATTTGTTG